TCCATGCACCTTGCCCAGAGAAGCTGTGACAGCTTAGTCTACCTGCTACATACAAAACTGCTCTAGTTTTTTTAACAGTAAGTGCTACAAATCCTCGAGCAATTTGGGATTTCCAAGACATGACAGCAGGCCATTTCCATCTCGAAAGAGTAAGACAGGTCCCAGAAGAATAGAAAACTGAGAAGTGGGGATGACTCCTGCCTGGTTTGTTCCCAATTTTTAGCCCCTCCACAGGGCACCTGGTGAGTAACCTTGGTGAGAGAAGCACCCCCAGCCCAGGGGGATCTCTGAGAGTGGCCTGGCTCAACGTGCCAAACAAGCGTCAAGAGGGGCAGGCAAGTGCAGCCAGCACTCTAAAGACTGGCTGACAGGTAAAGACTTTGCTGGAGGTATTTTTTTAAATGTTTGTAGATTGGGCCAGCAGAACTTTCAGTAAAAAAAAAAAAAAAAAAAAGGTCAAAAAACCTTCTGAAAGATGGAACTCAGTTGACCTAATTTTGCGGTTTTATTTAGCAGTGAAGACGATGGTGTTATAATAACAGTGCAGGCTTTGAGAAGAGAAGCTGTTTGATGACAGAACTGAAAAAAAATATATAAAGCATAATTGAAGGAATTTTCAAAGGCAGAACTGGACTCTTATTTTTTTCGAGTGCAGACTTTGAAAGGTAGCTCACAGAAATAAAGAGTTTGGCTTGCTTCTCTGCAAATATTCTGCAAGTTTTTCTGCAAGCAAAGTACTCATTGACAGAGTCTAGTTTCCAATGCATTGTAAACAATTATTTAAGTATCTGAAATGCAGAGCTTGGCTTTCAGTCAAGCTTGTAAGGTTTCACCAGGAAGATGCTGTGACTTCCAAATTATTGGGAAAAAAAAAAAAAAAAAAAAAAAAAAAAAAAAAAAAAAAAAAAAAAAAAAAAAAAAAAAAAAAAAAAAAAAAAAAAAAAAAAAAAAAAAAAAAAAAAAAAAAAAAAAAAAAAAAAAAAAAAAAAAAAGATAAAAGGTTTCATGATCCTTGAAAAAACGAAAATTGTTTGCATTTGAAATCCTGTATTGAAAAGCTTTGAGGAGAGTTCAGAAGGCTTTGAGTAAATTGGGAAGGAGTTCATAATCTGTATCCAAACCATTTCACTCTGGAATACTTGATGACATTTTTATCAGGTAAGCTATCACTCTAGTAAATAAGTCTCAGTCAGACAAGTAATAGCTTGTTCAATTTTTTATGAGAGATTATTTTTAATAACAAGGATTCTGTTTGCAAAGTCTTCCTCTAAGACTCCCACATCATCAGCAAGCAGATAAGCACATAATGCACAGGCATTTATTCCCCTTAATTAATAAGGTTTCAAGCTGTCTGGTTTCTCTGGCATCTCATGTAGATTTACTGGTTCAAGTAGTCAAGAAATCAGGAGAAAATTTTTTGTACCTTCTTTTATTCAATGGGAAGAAATGTAGGTTTGCAGAACTGTCATTTCTTTCAGTCCAAACAGAAAAAATCACTCAACACATTTGTCAGATGGCATTTATTATTAAGCAATTATTTACATTGATCTTTTTAATCTGTTCACTTCCTCATTTCTTCCTCCAATAGTCACTTGCTCTATAAAACTAACAAATCCTCACTGGAGAGCTGTTAACAGGAGACTATTTGAACTATTTTATTTCAACTGTGAGCTGAACTGTTTTTCATGGCTCAAGTTAAATTGTAAATAGTGACCTGCCAGGTTTGCTTTCTCCTGCCCTCCATCATTTTTGAAAACTCTGTGTGACTGAGTCGTTCAATAAGGGACATGAGAAAGGACGCTTCAAGGTTTCAAAACTGCTGCTCTGAAGTTCTAACTTTTCTTTACAGAGAAATTATTTTGCTTTCTTCCCTGACTCCCCCTTCCCCCCGCCCCGAAGAGTTTCAGTATGTCTTGCAGACAATTTGATGAAAGCCAAATCCCTAAGGATAGTTTTGGTGCTGCTTTTTTTTTTTTTTTTTTTTTTTTTTTTTTTTTTTTTTTTTTTTTTTTTTTTTTTTTTTTTTTTTTTTTTTTTTTTTTTTTTTTTTTTTTTTTTTTTTTTTTTTTTTTTTTTTTTTTTAAAAATTGAGGGAAATACAGAAATGCAGTATTTCAGTGGAAGGAAATTCACTGTTGGTATAAAGCCATAGCCTGGATTGCAGAGTGCCTGACTTAGACAGTAGGTCATTTTGAGTGCAAAGAGAGAAGTGAGAGGCACGAAAAGGAGCATGTTTTGCCAGCTTGCAGAGACGGGAGGTCCCAGCAGAGAGAGCTTGTGGACGTCTGAAGTAAGATAGATCAGCTCATAAATGTGTCAACTCAGTTTTTCCGAGTCTCAGTCTTTCCCAGAATCCACAGAACTCAGGGGAATACGAGTTCTGGAAATGCTTTTTATTTTTTTTTTTCTCGTCCAATGGCATTTAGATAGAATGTCTTAATCATGTGCTTTAATGAGAATGTGTATTAAGACATCCCCTTTATAAAATTAGCTGAAAGTGCAGTGTATAAAGTAGTTAACCATTTGCAGTTTTTCATCATTACCCTGATTTTTCAAATGTGAATTAACCGATACTTTGTCTCAACTATATTAGCTTCTTCTAATTTTTTTTTTTCCCCCCAGATTCGTCAAAACGTCTCAGCAGAGAAAGAGAATTTTCCCGTGGCCTTGGAAAGCAAAGAAAATCAGAGCACCCAGGAGTGTGATTCTCAAGATGTAAGATTAACTCACCCAGAAACCGGGGTCTAAACCAGGCTGTGTGAGAACACTAATGCCTTGGGCAGCTGTCAGTGGGACTTTGCCAATCTTAAATGGCACACATATTTTATAAGCCAGCTCCATTCTGCATTGAGGTGCTGAAGAGCAAATGCTCTTTGCTGTCTGGCTTTCTTTTAAAAAAGAACTGGTGGAACTGTTGCAGCGGTGGAAAATATGGGGTTTCACGTTTAACCATCTCCTGGTTGAAATGTTGCTGCATTTATAGCGAGATGCAGAGCCTTTTTGATATATCTATCTACATATATAATATTAATTTTTATATTTAAAATTAATAATCAGGCACAGCCTTCACAGATGCTTCATTTAATAGAGCAAAACCTGAGAGATGAGGGCATAATAGTTGTAAGTATGTGACAGCATCCACTGGCAGTCCAGGAAACCTGCAGGCTGTGCTTCTCCTACGACAGGGCTGACAGAAATCTAAATCTGCTTTTGCTGAGACAAAACGCTCATTTAAACAGCACGATCTGAGGTCTTAATAGAAATCCCAAATGCGTGTGCTGTGGCCAAAATTATAACAATACAAATAAAACAGAAAAAACAAACAAACAAACAAACAAAACCCATGAAAAAAAAGAGAGAGACTAGATTTGCTGCAAGAACAGATTGTCTGCTTAATAGTCCAAAAAGTAGAGTGCTACCTTGACTAATTTGCAGATGAAATATATATATATTTATGTATATATTGAATATATTGTTATATCTCCAGATATAGCAAACTCCAGTGGAGGTAACTGGGTAGTTAGTGATCACAGCAGTGTGAGGCAAAACTCTGGAAAACAAATCTAAGGTAATTCAACATTCAGCAAATGGTAAAACTCCTGCATGTAGTATATTCATTACAAATATGTTCAAGTTTATTCAATTATAAGTTACTTCCCCTCTACCACATCCTTTAGAGGAGGGCAGGGACGAGGAGGAATTTTATATCCAGAAGAGTGCATAATTTACTGTTGCACATTTCTTAATGTCTAAAGGTAAAGGAAACATAATTTTATTAATAAAAATTGAGGGAGGAGAAGAAAACCACGTAAAATTAGGAGGTTGGAGTGAACTCCATTTAGATTATGCCTGGAGGTTAGTTATCACTTAGGAAACTTATAGGAGGTTTGATGAAATGTAGATTACTTTTGGCAGAGACTGAATTTATTTAGGCTGAAAATTTGTGTTAAGAGGCTCGGAGAGCTCTTTTTTATAGAAGTGAATAAATTAAAGGAGAAGGAGAAAGAAAAAAAAATTATTAACACATTTCAAAAATCAAAGGAGGATTTAATTTCTCTATCGAGTAATGCAGTGACAGACACCTAAAAGGAGCACTTTTCCATAAAATCAAGAATTTGGTCTTTTGCATTAAGGGGTGGTTGCTTTTTGCACTTCTAGCAACTGGTGTTTTTTAGCCATGTAGTCAACATGGAATGCTGCTTGGGTATGAGAAATTTGTCAGGGAAAGCAGATAACTGCAATTGGAGTTAGAAGTGTTGATGAGTTGAATTATTTTTCAAGATTCAAATTTAAATTAAAATCTAACCCTATTCCCTGCTTTTGTCTAAGTAACATTATAATTCAAGTAAAAAGAAATTAGACTATATATCTGAGTT